GGTCTTCAACTTGGTTTGCTCCCTACTGTTGATATTGCCATTTGCCCATCCTCTTGTTGACCAATTTAGACTAGCCATCCATCCATGCAAGCACTCATTCATTTGGTCTCCATCCTGCCTTTTGCCTCTCCATGCTCCTGCAGTTCAACTCTGAACCTGTAGCCTCAGTCTGTGGTCGGCAGCCAACAACCCCAGCAGTTCTCTGGATTCTCCATTCTAGGTTGGTTTCCTTATCAATGAAGACTATGTAGTACATGTCTTTTAGCTTTCCTGCTTTTCAAACTTGCATTTCCAAACCCTCATGAATTCCTCTGCAGTCTCATAGCCTTTCATGGTCACTCTGTAGCCTGCATAGGTCTATTTATTATGTGACATGTAATGTGTGATCTGAGAGTTGATATTAGTAATTGAGATTGAAAAGGCAACTGTATTTTCTTGACTAGGGTTATCAAAGAAAGCAAGGGTATCTCGCAAGTTTCTATATGGAGATGATCATAGTTTGTGAATTCACTGTTATTCAATACATTCTGGCATTGTGGGAAGGCAAAAACATGTTTGCCTATATTTCTGGCATGATACACTCATGATAGGGTCAATGGAGGATAGATCTTGCTATGTAAGCTGAGGAGGTCAGTAGGGATGAGTGTGTTGGGGCTGGGATGTGGATTTAGGGTAGAGTGTTGGGTTAGAAGAGCTGGTAGGCACTGAGGCTAAACTATTTTAAGTCAAGCTAAAAGAATTCCTACATCAGGTTCAGCAGGCTTCCTGCAGTTGTGGCCATTACCCCAACACTCCGTAATGGACTTGAGTCAGTGAAGGTTGTCTGGAGAAAGGGGACCTCTTGAGAGGCTGCAGGAACCTTCATGGCAGAAATGAGAGAGAGAGGCTGGGCCACTTTGGGAATAGACAGCAAAGGCGGAGAGAATTCCCCTGGAAGTATTTAGTGCCTTCTGAATGCGAGGCATAACAGATTGGGCATGCGCTTGACATACGCAGGTCGATCTTCTCCCGGCATTTTTCCTACACCAGCTTTTTTGACCTCTGCCCATCCTGAACCCCCAAATAATTTTTTTCCGTACATACAGTTAGTATGTTAAATTCAAATTTGAACCTCAAACTGTCTGCTTCTCAACCTAGCCCTTTCTGTTCCCTTCATGCTGTCTGCTTCTTTTTGAACATCACAATGGATTCTGATTAGCTTCACACATATCTCTTATTTCTATTTCTGTAGCAGAGAAGAGGCTGAACTGGGCGAGAGGAATTCTCCATGGAAACCTAGTTTATAACCAGGGATGGTCCCACTTAATGATCTTTTGACTTTGATGGCGTGATGGCATCACACATTTGGACATTTTCTCAAGTTGGTGATATTTCATGCGTTCTCTCACGTTGTTGGACAGACGTAGAAGCCTTTCATCTTCACATCTGCAGTGGGAAATAGTCTCTGTGCTGTGTTGCCCATTTGGTTTTCAGGTCCCATTGTCCGTAGTATGCCTATCAGACGGTATCCATGGTGGTGTGGCAAGTTACCGTGTGAGATTGGTGTCTTTGCCAGTCTGTGGGCTACCATCCATGTTCTGAGCATGTTAAGGAAAGCAAGGATAAACTGTGATTTGCTTAGCATATTAGATTTACTTGATGTGTTTTATGAGTCATCATGATATTCTCAACTTAGGATGTTTATAAGGATATAACCCTAGATGCGGAAATTTTTTTACATTATTTAATCTTCAAAATAGAATTAGAAACAAAATTAGCCATGAGCAAGGATGCAGATAATAAACATACCACTGCATAGAGACAGACGTGTGCCTGCTAGGTGTGGGTATATGACTTTGGAGGACATGGCATCATTTACTCCCAGTGAGTGAAGCCCACACCATGTTAGGGAGCTGGCCAGTTCCCCAGGGCCAGATGGGGAGAAGATTTCCACTCTTACTCGGTTCTTGTGCTGGATGTCTTTGTGCAGTGCCAACTCATACAATGTGTCTGACAATCTTTCCAATGAGCACATTGAGGGTCACATGTGGTCATTAGTTAGCTTGTCCTAGCTGATGAGGGAGGGAAGAGCCAGAGTTCAAAGCTTGGCCATCTTTCCACAGTTGTGGTTGCATCGTTACACACAATTTGAAAGATAAAGAGACTTGATCTCGGAGTATTGAAATTTACCCGTCCCAGATAAATCAAGGGTCATGGGGAAGGAAATTAAACTCAAGTGATCTTCTTTAATTCCACTCTGCTATTAAAATCCAAGATAGATCGAGTCATTTTAGATGTCAAAAACATGAGAGTCCGAAGAAGGACTAACTAGTCATTTACGAACTGAAATCACAAACTGGATGTTTCAAAATATGATATTGAAGCAATTAAAGTATCATAATCTTTCTTGGGTTCAAGTTTTGAATGCTGGAAGGAAAAGGATGAATCATTACCCATGAAATAGGATGTGATTTTTGCATTATTGCAAGTTATAGAAAACATATTAGGGTATGGTAAACACGGTCATATATTTCTTTAAATGGTCCTTGAGGTATGGAGATTTCCCATAGCCTGTGCCCCATGAGTTTTGACTCATTTCCAAAGCACTTGTTATATGCTTCAGGGTGCATTGCCTATACACACCCAGAATTCATGCATATTCAGCTTCAGACAAACATAGCCATGATTGCTCAGTGACAGCCACCAGGTGTTTTTGCAGTCCTCCCAGACAGTGACTGATAGGTCCCTTTCCCACCCACTCACTAGGACAAACGGCTCTCCTATTTTTATGAGGAGACTGAGATTTGGAGTAATTGTGAGCCATTTACTACTACGACCATGACCATGGGGGCTAATAATGAAAAAGCCCTTCCTTATGTGGTTCTTAGTTAAAGGAAAATATGCACACCTATGTCTCCTTTGATACTGACCAGGACCCTGTGCGGTCATAGTAAGATGGCCTTCCTTCCTATAGGACCTGTAGATCACTCACCTCTTCACTATTTGTCCAGGAAATGTCAAGTGTATGCCCATCTCCTGCCAGAGATAGTCTAAGTACCCAAGACCAGGGCTTGTCACATCAATGTCTGCTTTGGGGAGCTTGTTCTCCAGTCATTTGTCTTATAAATCTGTGTAAGCTGCTATAACAAGACTGAGAGATGAAACACTATGTGTCTATGGTCCCATGGTTGTAGAGGCTAGATACTCAAGATCAAGATGTCCCAGGGGTTGTTTCTCTTAAGACTCCTTTCCTTCAGATCTTCTCCACATGTCCTCTGCAAGGACACTCCCCTGAGACTTAGTAATGTGCCCAGTCTCTTCTTATTAGGATCCATGGAGTTATTTTAGTTTTCCCATCTTTTAAAGGTCCTGTCTTCAAGTACAGTCACAGGGTGAGGAGCTGAGATTTGAACCTATATTCCCTGAATGTCTGATGAGTTTGTGACACTTGTCTACGGTGAAGTGGGTGGCCGGTGTCAGGTCATGATTGAGTTATGCCTTTCTGATCTGTCATCAAAAGACACAATGTGTCTTCCATGTAGCATAGTCAGACTAGAAATCGTCTGGTTGTGTGTGTGTGCTTGCACGTGTATGCATGAGTGTGTGTGTGTGTGCGCATGTGTGTGTGCATGCGTGTGTTTGGTATGTTTTTATGTTACTATGACCTAACTTCTTAGAGAAAGGATGAGTCTGTAGTTTTGGACTTGGAGAGCAACTTAGTGAGCACTCTCCTTACAGTGCTCACGTCTCACTAAGAATCCCGTCCCCTTTTGCTTTCATCTCTGAATTCTCTGGTTTTACCCTTGTCTCTTCCAATGATTGCAGAACTGATTCCATTTCAATGCAGTAACCTCAACAGTTCTTTAAAATAGAGCTTTTTATTTTTTCATTTTCTTTTTTAACATCCTAACTTTACATGTTTTCTCCATACAAATACTCGCCATTTGCCAGTGGCTTCTTGAGTGCATTAATAGCAATGCATTTTATGTTTATCTTTTAAAAAGACCAGCTTTTGCTATGCATTTCTGTCTGTTGTGCTGGTATAAACAAGACTATTAGCCGAATAGTATTTTTTTTTGAAAGGCAATGTCTTAAGTCTTAGTACCTTTCCTTCCACTGTTGCTGCTAAGCACAGGGAAATCTGTAAAACTGCAATTTCCTCCTGTGTTCCAGTCTCGTAACAGCCAGATGAATAAAAGGCAGCCTTTGCATCGGTAACTCTGATGTTCTCAGAGCAATTTTCCTACCAAGGTGGGGTAAGTGAAAAGTTTCAAGTGGCTTGAGAAGACCAGAGCGAGGGTGAGCACGCCCAGGGAATGAGCTAGACATGAAAGATCCAGGCTGAGGGTACTCTCACCCCAGAAGTGAGCAGACACAAGGATAGAACAACAGAGGAATGACTGGGCAACCTGAGATGCACGTAATGCAGGATTTCAGTATTTCCTGGTGCACTCATCGCTTGTCTTCTCTGAGAAGGGTGGCTGACTTCGTGTCTGCTGTTTCTCATTCCACCATTTCAAGCAGTACTTGTGTCTCAAGGGTGAGATGGGACCATCATCCAGTAGGAAATAACCGGGCGTCTTCAGTGAGAAACAGAAGGGCATCAGGAACCCAGCTGAAATAATGAAGACTGTCATTCATGCAAGTTAATTCTGGCCTTGCTGTTGACAAAATTGCTGTTAAAAAAAATCACAATTTTTAGGTCTTTGACTCTGTTTTAATAAAGACAAAATTAGTAACTAGAGCACCCAGGGCTCACTCTTTCTCCTTTAAATATGCACTCTCTTCATATACCCAGCCACTCTGAGGCTTGGGAGTTTTCAGGACAGTGATGCTGTGGCATCCTGTTTTCCCCTAGGATGGAAAAGTTCATGTTAGCTCCCTCCAGTGACCTTTTGCTGTCTAAATATTAAACAGACATTAGTGTAACTTCCTGGACCAGATGAGATGAGAGTGTTAGGGAACAAGCTGGGGTCAGCAAACGTTTTCTATAAAAGGCCAGATAGTGGCTATTTCGGGCTCTGCAAGTCACCGTGACTCTCCTCACTCACCTCTGCAGTCAGAGTGCAAATTCAGGAAAGGGTGCGTATGGCTGGGTTCCAATCAGACTTATTTATGGCTACCGACATTTGGGTTGTAATTGAAATGTGCTTTCAATGTGTCACAAACTATTACTTTTCTTTTGACTCTTTTTTCTTTTAACTCAAGCACTTAAAAACTGTAAAAGATAGTCCTTACTTACGGACTGCCACCAAACAGGCTGTGCCTCTTGCTTATCTTCCTCTGGGGTAAAGCTTGTGTGGCATGCATGATTGAATCATTGTCCTTAGGATCTGGCACATTATGGTGTGAACTGGAGAGTGACAGTACTGATTCTCATGAAGTATTAATACTTTTGAACATTCTAGATAATCAGATTGACTTCTTCGTAGGATTTTGATGTCCTTCAACAGGCAGTCAAAACTTACAAAGTTGACCACTATCACTTACTTCTCATTCTGTTACTCTGTATAGTATCACCTTAGTCTGTTTTGTGCCTCTTGAACAGAATTCCACAGATAGAGTGACATAGAAATGAAAGCTATTTGTTTGGCTTAGTGTCCTAGGGCTTGGGGGTTCAAGTGCCAGCATTTGGCAAAGGTCCCATTTTGAGTCATAGTATGGGGAGGAGAAATGGAAGGGTGTAAAAGAGGCGTGTGGAGGTGGGGGAGAGCAAATCCAGTCTCAAAACCCCACTCCTGGAACAATGGCATTGAACATGTGTTTGACCTCTTGAAGGACCTGCTTCACAAACACTGCCTTGATAGTTTATGTTTCCAGCTCATGAACTGGGGGGAGACACGCTTCACCCATGCCAAGGAAGAATGTACATTTTCACCAAACTCCTCATCTAGTCCCTCCCTAGCCTGATTACTGAATTATTAATGCTTTTGAGTTAGGAGAAAGATAGAGTCGCAGAGACCTAGGGAGTGGAAGAAAGAGAAAAGCAGAACAAATTCTGAGATGAGAGGGTGTGAGATAGTGTGTGTGTTTGTGCGTGTGTTTGCACCATTGTGTGGCAGGGGTTATTACTATGGCTGAGAACTTGGAGTTGGTTTTAGACATAAGGCTCTGAGAAACTGTGTAGAAGAGAAATAAGGACCGGAAGAAAGGAATTTGAATAATGCTGTTTGGTACTATTAATTAGTTAATTTGTTCACTTTTTGATGTTGTAGGAACATAAGTATATTAGAACTTCTTTTTTAAAGTTTTACTTTTAACAATTTTATTGCATTTTTGGTGTGTGTGTGTGTGTGTGTATGCATATGTGTGATACCATGTATATGTGGAGGTCACAGGACAATTTTTGGGAATCAGTTCTTTCTTCCTACCATATGGGTCCCAGGGATTTACTTAGGCTTATGGAAAGTGCTTTTCCTTGCAGAGCCCTCTTTCTAATCCTAAACTTACTTTGTAGCTGGTTGACTGTATTTCTTTAAGCTTCTATACAGAGAGAATATGATGTAAGACTTCAGATGTATAACTTTCATAACTATCTAATTTACCATACAAAGAATAACAGCACAAGTGAAAGGTAACATACTGTTTACTTTTGTACTCTTTATTTGCTGGATTACATGGAATTTTGATTTTGTGGACTTTAGCAAAGAATACATTTGTTTACAGTGGTTGGGGTTATAAACATTTAGAAGAGCTGGCATTTAAACTTTTGGTGTTGATGGTAAGAATTATTTACTTTTCACAAGAAGGAGGGCTGAACATTTGTTTGGGTTCATACAAAAGTCCAATGATCCTAGTTGGATTCCCTGTTGACTCCTATATTCTCTGATCCATCTAAGAAGAGCATTAAAGCAACAATTCATTTTAAATAGCAATTGTCATCTTAAAAATTAGGTACCTATATGAATAGATGTAGAAGAATTATGATTCTAAGCCACTGGGGCCTTTCATGACTAATAACATGAGAAAACAGAACACAGCCTTCACAGACTGAGAGCAACATAGATTTCTGTGTAATAAATGTGAGTATCTATAGATATGTAAGCAGCATAAATTATTTGAGAGAAGCTGCTAAAACTGCAAACTTTATTTGAAATGCAGAAGTCAATAAAATGAATGCATGCATGCCTGAATATAATTGTCTTTCTTTACCATGTCTTGGACTTGAAGCCAAGGGTCAGCATTCACCCAGAACATATAGTTGCCATGGGTAAGAGTTCCTGTTTCTTTATAACCTTCCATGTGCTCATGAGCTCTGATAGGATCACTACATAGAAATATCTCTTTGGCATGCAGTTACTTTCTTAAATATTTATTACCATATGTTAAGGACTGGAATTGGTATGTTCAATTGTTTATAACTTCAGTAAACACATCATTATGGAGATCTTTACCAAACAAAAGTAAGGAATGACTTTTAATAATCCAACACCTTGCAAACACATGAAGCTGTGCTTCCCAAATCTCTGGTCATCAAGGGATGGCGAAGGATTTTGGTGGAGAAAGGTCATGACCATGCTTGTATTCCAGAATTGCTTAGCCCAGTCAAAATTCTGGGTGTAGTTTTATAAGCACAGCTGACAACAATAGCAGAACACGCCTTAGTCATAAATCAGACAAACAGCCGCAGACAGTACATTTTCTTTGCATTTTCTCTTTGAGTACACAGAAGTCTTAATTATAAACTATATGAGGTAATTCATCATCTTCTCACATAGGAAAATCTTCATAAATGCCTCAGAAGACTGGAAATATGCTGACCAAGTCCTCATACTCTATTGAAGATATATCATGTCTTGAACATTTAAAAAATTCTGTGTATTTCAGTACTGATGGGTAGTTTACAAACACAGGGACACAAGCCAAGGATGGCAGAAGTTCAACTCTCGTTTCTAGCCAGTCTCTGATCTTCAGCTAGTCTTCGTCCTCCAGACTTGATGTCTCCAGTGCTAGGGTTGCCTGAAATATTCCTGGCACCTGATCCTTATCTAATTTGCCATGCTGGTCATTTGGGTAGTTCATTTGCTAGTGTATTTTCACAGGATTACATTCTTTTCCTGGATTCATATGCTGCTTCATGGGGCACGAACCACTTGGGAAGATTGGAAAGTAGCTCCCTTCAATGTAGAAAAGGGCCAGCCTGAAATCAATGTCCAATAGTATATCTTTCAAGATTTATTTGTTTGTTTATGTGTGTGTGTGTGTGTGAGCATGTGTGTGTGTGTAGTACCCATGGAGACCAGAGGAAGATGTAATATCCTTTGGAGCTGGAGCTAAAGGTGGTTATCACCTTCCCAATATGGGTGCTGGGACCTTAACTCAGATCTGCTGAAAGAGCTGTGTGCTTTTAATATGAAGTCATCTCTCCATCCTTGATGATATCTTTCAAAATCAAAATAAAGAGTTCTTCATATGTGCAAAACCTAAAGGTATTCATCACCATCAGAAATAAATATATGATCTATAACAAAATAATGATATTGAATGATATATTGATTCGAAGAAATTAAAGTTACCTCAAAGAGTAACTACACTGATAAATACCAAGTTTTAAAAATGTGGTTATTTAAGCCTCTAAAAAATGTAATAGAGTGCTTATGTGAAAACAACAACAATGTAAATGAAATTGAATCCATTCAACTATGATGGGACATATTGAGGAAGCTTAATTGTTGAAAGAATTTTGTAAAATATCATTTAAAAACATTTTACCATTTTATATAAAACTATGATGAATTGAGTAGTTTAATTATTACCACTGTTTAGATATCAATAGCTAATAAGTCAATCAGAGAGGTCAAATAAAATTATAAAATTGAAGGAAAGAGAGAAAATAAGTCAGACAGAAAAAGTATAAAGCAAATAGCAAGGAAATACTATAACCTGTGGAAAAATGATAATAAACAATACTGGGCTAAACACCACATACATATTGTCAAATATGATACAAAAGTAAGAGCCAATGGGTTAGTGGTGCTTGCAAGAAACATTTTTAATATAATGACTAACTAGATAAAATGTAAAATGAATAAACATTAAAATAATATTTAGCAACATAAATAAGGGAAGCCAAGAGTGACTAATATTATCACTTAAAATTTGTCAAAGCAAAGAGATTCCTAGGGACAAAGAAAATCACTTCATAATAGTAAAGGATCAGTTTATAAAGAGGGGATAGTATGCTAAATGCTTATTGTGCAATAGCAGACCTTTAGAATGCATGATGAAAAACCGGGCAGCTTCAGGGAAGAATCACCAGATCACTAAGTAAAGGCAGGAAGTACAATGCCTCTCTCTCAATAACTCATGGAATAAGTAGACAGAAGATGAGTGGGGAAGCAGAAGACTTAGAAATCTCCATCAGCCAACTTTGTCAGATTAATATTTGCTGAATTCCACCAAATAGCAGCACCGTGTTCATTATCTTCAAGTGTGCACAGGGTATTTACTGAGGGAGACCATATTCTGGGCTATAAAACAAACCTTAATAAATCTGAAAGGACACAAGTCATATAAAGTGGGTTTGCTTGCATACTTGAATTACTCTGGAACGAAGTAACAGACAGAGCTCTGGAAAATCCTCAAATATTTGGAAATCAAATAACACATCTCTAAACAAACTGTGGTTTAGAGATGAAAGCAGAAGTGAAATTAGAAAGAATTAGAAAATAGTTTGACTTTAAAAATATCTAAAACATAGTATCAATATTGGTGAGATACAAAATTGTGTTTATATTACAAATTATCATGTTAAGTACTTCAATCGGGAAAGAAAGCCTCAAGTCAAAAGCTTCAACTTTCATCTTTGGAGATGAGAGGAAGTGTATGTGATGGTTAATTCTAGTTGCCAACATAGGCTGTATCAATAACTATGCAGAGAAAGGGTAGAGCATTATTTCTGAACATGTATGGGAAGATGTTCCCAAATGGGGCTGGCTTGTGAGTGAGTGGACTGAGACTGAGTGAGCTCCCCTCAAGATGTTTGGACACTATGTAATCGTCTAGCAGCCCAAATGGGACAAAAAGTAGAGAATGATAATTTTCTTTACTCACTCTTAGAGGTAGAATGCCTCCCCAACATC